CTATCTATCTATCTATCTATCTATCTATCTATCTATCTAAATCAGAGTCAAAGGCAAAACTATCCTTAAAATTTCAATTTAATAACAGGCATGTTGGCATCATGCTATGAAATCCCAATTCTGGAAGTTACATCAGAATCCCACCCAGTTAAAAGTTCATGATCTTGTCCCCACACCCACAGTCCATCACATGGTCCAATCTTCTTCTGGTCCACGCTAGCACCTACGCCCAACTGCTTCCGATCAGGTGCAAAGGTTTGGGAGACAAAAGATGACTTTGAGCTTCTAGAAAGGAATTTTTTATTTTGAAAACAACACATTCTATCCCTTGCTAATTCCCCCACTTAATGAGAGTGTGGCAGGCCAAAGACTCTTAAAGGAACCGCTGCAGGCCTGATATTGCATACAGAAAAGCTATTCAGACTTCCATCCATTTCTCTGGAAGAAAGAGGATTTGAGAGGTATTAAATAAACCAAGACCCAGATGTCCATTAAGAAATACGATTCCTCATAATCCTATGTTTAATCTTATTAAATCTGAAATTCATCAACACAAGCTAGAATATCTGTAAAGGAAAAACATATTTTCTGAAAGCTGTTACACCTTCTTCATCAACGCAGGTGCACTCAATTAAAGCTATCTATTTTGAGACCTATGCTTATCAGCCGCCAATGATAGCATAAGTTTGGCAATAAAATGTGTTCTCTTAACTTGAAAGGGGTGTCTCATCTTGTTTTTTTAAGACAGCAGCCGCATTACAGGATCAAAATCTATTAAACGGAAAGCAAAGATTATACAATCTGTCTAAATACTTAAATGACTGTAAAAGTACTGACATACACGAAATGCTGTATATTGTCTTTTGTACTTCTTCACTGAAACTTTACTTGTATAAAATGCTAACATCTAATTGCGGCCCTAAGTTTCACATTCCATTTCCAATCATTTAGAACTAGATCATGCTGATCAGCGAAGAAATATCTTTATGTTTCATAGCAATCTGTGAACAGTAAGTAAAACCCTATAAAATACGTACACATACTGCATACACATCAATTACACACATACACACATATATATAACATAGGAGCAGGTATGAATATAAACATCATTGTGATTCTTACAAATTTACTTGGACTGAATGATATGATTTGTGATTCTGTCTAAAATACGATATTTTTTAATAGAGAATTTTCAGTTTCAAGCTTAGATTTTCTCTATCTTCTATGGAGATATCAAGATTTCTTGCATGAAAACAGATACTCAAGATTTGAATTTTCTCCCTTTCAATCAGACTATTACACTGTATAAAATGCATAGTTCTAAACAGTTTAATTTATATAAGCTGGAAGCAACCTTCACAGTCACTGGCATTGGTGATGTGACCTAGAAGGGTAGTGAAAATGACTCCAAACTCAGAGATTACACCAAGGATGCCATAATTGTTATTGAAACATATCCATACTGCATCTAGTATCATAGAACTTCATTAATTTTAAATTTTGAATTGTAATTCATTGTAGAGAATTATAAAATGTATAAAATCCCCCCCAAAGGTTACACTAGCATTACATTAATTTTTCACTCATTTCCTTGTTACTCACTGAAATAGTTCAGTCTTTTACAAGCATAAGAAAATACATCTGAATTGTCTTTTGCACTCAATTCAAGAAGGAATTACCTGCAGAATATACAGGTAAAATGTTTGCCTCACTGAAGAGCTTAAAGGTTTTGTATTTCTTTGCTCTCATCCAGGAGCGCAATAGTTTTATAGTTCCATGTTCTTCATAGGTGCTCTTTCTGATAAACTCTAAAAGAGGTGAGTGCATCAGATTTCTCTTCAAGGTGTAGCTTTGTGCCTGAGTTCCTTAGTTGCCTAGTGATGCTGGAAACACTTGGAAGGCACTTATTCCATGTGTTTTAGCAAGGAACCCTGGTGGGGGTTTTTTCCATGTGAAACTTTGTTACCATTGCAAAATTAAATATTAACATTCTTAATTGAAGCATGAATGCATTTTTCATTTGAAAGAATTACATTGTAACAGCTAAGGCAAAATGCCCATCAACATGAGTGATGTTGAATTGGCCACGCCCACCCAGTCACATGACCACCAAGCCACGCCTACCCAGCTGGTTATTAGGGAAGAGAACTGGTTGTTAAATTATTTGAATCCCACCATTGGGTAAAAGGGAGCGTATCTTGCTTTCAGTATTTCATCCTTCTGAAAGAAATAGCAATAGGACTTACAATTTCTATACCGCTTCATAGTGCTTTTTACAACCCTCTCTAAGCAGTTTACAGAGTCAGCATATCACCCCCAACAACTTGGGTTCTCATTTAACCTCCTTGGAAAGGTGGATGACTGAGTCAACCTTGAGCCTGGTGAGTCAGCTGAAGTAGCCTGCAATGCTGCACTCTAACCACTGTGCCACTTTGGCTCTTAAATATTAATCTTCGAGTGAATTTTAGTGTATAAAATACTTTGTAGAAATTTTCAAATTGTGTTTCTGTCAATGTTTAATTTTTTTGATACTGTCTGAAATGCAATTAATATCATTTAAAAAAAACTCACAATAATATAGTATGTTGGAAACTATTCCCACGGGTGTCTTATTGAAAATAAGCAAATCTGAATTAGACTAAGTTCAAACTCAATGAAGGCTCTGTTGAGTATAGGTTATCTACTCACTGAGTCTATGAAGGACCATGCACAGAATTTTCATAAGGTGCACATATTGTCATACAGTTTGTTTACTTCAGTCCAAAGCGATGCAAAAAATGCAGCAGTGAGTACAAATATATATTAATAGCCCTAATTCCATATCAATAACATGGAGATATTTACCTGTGTGTCAGTCTCCGGTGGCTAATGCAAACAGCTGTTTGTTGATCTTGTGCAATGCATACCTTATGACGAATGCATTTCATCTTTAAGCATGGATCTTTAGCTGGGTCTAAAGCTAAAAAACAATTGTAGAGAATATTTTTTTTAAAAAAATACACCTTTTCTACAGACATACAGAAAGTATAAATAACCTATTAGTTCCTCAAGGGCAATGATGTATCACTGATCCGCTAAGAAGACTAAGACTAAGAAAACCAGGTCTTTCCTCGCAATTAACAGTTAACAGTGAATTGGGTGATCTTACTAAATTCAGCTGACTAGAATTGTGACATCACTGATCCGCAAGCTGCATTGGTTTCCAATCTCCTTCTGGGTACAATGATCACCTTTAAAGCCCTTCATGGCATGGATATGTATAGATACGTTTTTTAATGACTTTAAGCCTCTCGGAGTTACCCTTTGGTAAGATGGGTGGTCAATATATTTTATACATACATACATAGATGCATACTAAAACTTTCTAATTTATTTTTATCTGTTCTTCTTTGGCACAATGGTTGTCTTAAATTCAGAGGAGCCTTTCTTTGGGAAAAGACTTATATTTACATCATTGGTTCTTATATGTACATACATAAGTATTCATGTTAGCAAGCGCACTGTGGTAAAAGTTGCAATTTTGCAAAAAGATACACTTAGGGCCAATTAATGCCTAAACATGGTAAATGGTGTGATCAGTTATATCCTAAATAAATGTTTTATTAACATTTCCACACTGAACATTCTGCCAATGCTTTGAATCCTGCTGATCTTTCTTTAAGCAGTAATTCATAAGGACATGGCTTTATATAATGAACACAACAATCATATGACAAATTGCTAATGAAAAATTAATTAAACTGATCTGGAAGGACAGAATTTTGATTAACTGTGATTACTATACATCAGCAGGCAAACATTTTACCATCTCAAAATCAAAATGTAAAATAATTGCACAAAGTAACTTAGTAAGAAGGAACTCACGCCACTCTTCCCCAACCACATTAAATCAATATTCAGTTTTATGATATTATGCAAAGTATGGATTTGACCTGCATTAATTTTCAATTTAAAGTAGTTTAAGCATTTAATGCATCAATTTTCTTATTAAACAACAATTTTAAGGTATTTAATGCTTAGCAGTTATCATTTCCTAATGGGGAAAGTATTTTATCTAGTATTGCTGTTATAAATATTATATTTATTTCTTCACAGTTAGAGAAGTAGGAGCCAATATTCCCAATTTAATATAAGTACAAATATTACTCATTTTGCAGTGGAAATTGTCTAAGTTCAATTCTAGCCAAAATATTCTAGATATGTTCACATTAATGTATTCATTTTTATAATTATAAGGAAACTATTCATAAATTAGTAATTAAGCATCACCTGCACGTTTGCAAAAGTAAAAAAAAGAAATATCCATTCTACTCTTTTGTTATGTTAAAATAAGTATATTAGTATATTTTTCATGTTCTTATTGTACACATAGGAATTAAAATAATCTGAATTTGGATAGATCAATATTGATACATTTACACTTTTTTTTACAATTCCAACTCCAGCACTGAAAAACGAAATGAAGGCAAGCAGCTGCAGTAACTATCACTGTATTTACACCCACAAGCTTACAATAGGCTTTAGAGCCAGTGTAAAACAAAAATTAAGATTGTAGTAGCAGCTACATCTTCTTCATCTGGATTTTCAGTTTAAAAGTATTAAAATGTCCTCTACTACTTGCCAAATATGAATCCTGCCCCTTCCTTCCTGTAATAAAGCCTACAGAAACTAACTTGCAGGAAGCTGTTTTAAACTTAAGAGAAAATTTGCTTTCTGAATCAAATCCTCTCACAAAAAGCGAACTCAAAAATAATTTGGCCAAGAAACAGACTTTGCAGCACAGGTGAATGTGTTAAATCCATATGCCAAATCCCATTTTTCTTCCAAAACAAAACAAAGTACTAACTACAGTGTTTCCTCAAAAAATAAGACCTATCCTGAAAATAAGCCATAGCATGTTTTCTGTGCATGCACCCAATCCCTACCCACAAAATAGGCCCTACTTAAGCGCCTGCAGAGCCGGTCTCCCACCCATCCTACTGACACGAGGTGAGGTGAGGTGAGGCAGGGGATGGAGCTGCTCCATGGGCCCCGCACCTACCGCAGGGCTCCCGTGGCCAGGCAGGCCTTCCACGCACTGACATCTGTGTCGCCTCATGGTAGCTGCTCCAACAGCCTCATCCAGGAAAATCCTGCACGGCTCCTGGCCCACTTCATGACTGCAATGGAGGAGGAGACCAAGCAACACACTGCTGCTGTAGCCATGAGGCAAGGCAGGTGTTGGGGCATGGCTGGTCTGGCTGCAGGGGCCTTTAGGTAAGCTGGTGCGGGGCCTAGGGGCAGTTCCATCTCATGGCGGCAGCACTCAAAAGAAAAAAACTTCCCCTGAAAATAAGCACCAGTGCTTATTTCAGAGCCTAAAAGAAAATAAGACCGGGTCTTATTTTTGGGAAAACATGAGTACTTAGAAGACAAACTGCTGCTATTCAGCAAAACTGCATTATACAGTGCATCACTCCTAAAAGTGTACACAGAATTTACACAAAAGAAACAAACATACCCAACATTTTTAAAAAATCTGCTGTTTCCAAATCCACTTCTTAAATCACCAGGATATCTGCTTTCTTATTGATTTTATGTATCAAAATAAAAGACCTGGCTTGCAGCCATCCATATTTTTTTTTATTTTGCAAGAATGCCTCTTGACCCATGGAGCCTTGAAACATTATTTATAAAACTGGTTTGAAAACTGATAGGAGTTCAGGCCTCATATACATGTCACTTGACTGCCATCATCAGAGCTGTAGCCATCACCAGTGGATGCCTATGACATCATCTATGTATTCAGAAATTCTGGGTTTCATACCCAAATATAAACCTGCCTAATTATACATAAAAATAATAGTGCTGGCTCTTCGGCATGGAAATGGAGATGAGCATCACCCCCAAGAGTCCTAGGGGAACCTTTACCTTTACCTATACTATAGACTTTTATCTTTTAGCTAGACAGCTGCTGGTGTGTATCAATTTAAAATAGGTTTATTAGATTGTCTTATACCTAAGTCAACAATGATCTAGGATTTGTCAATATAGCTTGTATAAAAATGTTTTCCATTTCCATGCCGAAGAGCCAGCACTATCCGAATACGTCTCTGTGGTCATATGTCTGGCATGACGAAATGCCAAAGACGCACAAAACACTGTTATCTTCCCAAAACATGGTTCCTATTTTTCTACTTACATTTTTACATGCTTTGGAACTGCTAGGTTGGCAGAAGCTGAGACAAGTAATGGCAGCTCACTTCGTTACATGACACTAGGGATTCAAACCACCAATCTTTCTGATCAACAAGCTCAGCTCCTTAGCCACTGCGTATAAGATATATATGCGGTGGCTCAATGTATAGTTTATAGTAGAGTTGAATAGTACTCAGTTTACAGTATAGTAGATAGTATAGTAAAATACGGGAATAGTAAAGAATAGTAAAATATTGGAATGGCTGATAGAAAATCTACATTACATATACTGCATCCAAATCCTGGTTTATCTGTTAAAGGATAACAATTCAATTTGAACTGAGGAGGTCAAGATTTCAATCTATTTCTGAAGGTACAGATTTAATTCTAAACCTCAAGTTTGATACTACAGTAAAATAATGCTATTATTGAATTAACAAAATGATGTTTGAAAATAAAATCAGGAAAGATAACTATTGTTTAGTCCTCGAGACTACAACTGACAGCCAGCAACAGCCAGGCCGCGCCTGATTGGCTAAGGCGCGGCATGGCTGAGCGCGGGCTTTCTGACGCGTGCCTATTGGCCTCCCAGCTCCATATAAATAGCTGTCAAGCAGGGCGGAGTCCCGATCTACCGCTAGCCTGTCTACTGTTCAGATCTGCTCTAATAAAGTGCCGTTAACTTACCTCAGGAGCCTCCTGCCTCGTTCCTTCAGGGAATACTTCAACTATAACTACTACCAAATCAGGAATGATAACTATACCTACCATCTTTATCTTTTGGAAGAAAAGTAAAATATAATATGCAAATTAAACTGTCATTCATGTAACATTAAACTGTCATTCATGTAACATTAATCATGTTATGTCTTCCCCTTTAATCTTCTCAAGGTTAAACCTAACTAGTTCTTTCTCTTCACACAGGCTTAGTTTTTAGTGCCTGATCATCCTTGTTGTTAGGGTGATGAACAGAAGTGAACAGAGTACATGATACCTAAACAAAGAAAAACTTCTATGCCTTTCGATCTTACTCTTGAATACAACAAAAATTAAATTATTGTAATATATTCTTCAGAAGGCTACTCTTTAAAACTGTTTAAGAGTATTAAGTTGTACCTAATACAAATTCCAAAAATGAATGAAGAACATGAATTCAAGAACATAAGACTATGTAATCAAGCTCTTAGATATGCATTAAAATTCAAGACCAGTTATTGACTATATTCTCTAAATATATTCAGAAATATTTGTATTTATTGAATGCCCGTATTCAGGAAACAAGAGTAGAGCTCATTAAGTGAAACAGTTGTGCATGCACAATGATGTATAGACAACCAGGAGTAGTTTTCAAAAGCAGCCAGTGCAGGTAATTTAATGATTTGAAAATGTATTGTTTTTATGAAAACTTCAGTTATAAGCATTGCAAAGCGCTCCTTTCAAATGTTTTACATTTCATGAGGTCTCCTGAATACGAATACTTTGCCTCGGATTCAAGACCGGGTAAGTAATTTGCAAAATAAATATTCCCACTTTACATGCTTATAGAGAACAGCTTGCATTTCCCAAAATCCTGTTCAGTTATGTATTCTGACTTCATCAAGCCAATATACTTAAATGGGGCATATTGATGCAGACTAAAAACCTAATGAAGAATAAAATCTAAATTTCTGACAAGTTAACTCCTTAGTTTACAAACCATGTTGGTTTTTTTTGAAAAGCCATAATAAGCCTTGGTCCATCTTTTCTTCAGAGGTAAATGATTTAATGATACTTTATGTACTCACTAATAAGACTCACAAAGGTAGCTGTAAAAACAGCAACACTTTCTGTATTTCCTTTGATATCCCATGGTTATCCAGGTCTGATAGTTATTCCACAGGGCCAAATAGATGACTCAAGATGCTCATTAGCATTACAACCTGTTTCCTCCCACTATTATTAAAATTGGTTTAAAAGATTTGTTTTTTGATAGTTACCAAATATCAGGCTTCAATTATTTCCCCGAAAATAAGACAGGGTCTTATTTTCTTTTGACCCCCCCCCCCAATGTTGCTTGGGCCTTATTATCAGGGGGGGTGTTATTTGTTTAGGGTTGCTGGGTGGCTGCTCTCTTGCGAGCAGGAGCCTGAAGAGCCGGGCACAGCCACAGGGGGAAACAGCTGTGTTGCACTGTTGCCTCACCATGCCCAGCTCTCCCTGTAGGGCCGGGCCAGGGTGCTGCCACCGCCGTAGTACTGCTGCCGCTGCCATGCTCTGAGCATAACCGGCTTCCAAACACCGGAGATTCACTGCTGAGTCTGAGTGCGGGAAGACTCTGTCCCACCAGGACAGAGAGTCTTCCCGCACTCAGACTCAGCAGTGGATCTCCGGTGTTTGGAAGCCACCAGTCTTCCAACAGTCAGCCCACAATCATAGAGCGTAGTCCCAGAGCGGCCACTGCTGGAAGACTCGGCAGCAGATCTCTGGAGTTTGGAAGCCGGTTATGCTTGGAGCATGGTGGCGGCAGCAGTGGGGCCACAGCGGTGGCGACAGTGGGGCCATGGCAGCGGCAGCACCCTGGCATGGCCCTGCAGGGAGAGCTGGGCATGGTGAGGCTGGGAGGCACGTGAGCTGGGGGCAGAACAAGTGCTCACGCAACCTCTCTTTCCAGTTGGGCAGAGCGCCACACAGCTTAGCACCTTTGGGATATTACTGGGTTGGTGAGTGGCACTCTGCCCGGCTGAAAAGGGGCATTGCTGGGCGGCTGCTTGTGAGAGTGGCTGCTCGTGAGAGCAGCTGCCTGGCAACCCCTGCTCCAGCTGGGCACAGCGCCACCCACCAACCTAGCAGTATCCCAAAGTCATTAAGCAATGTGAGCGCCTTTTCCCCCCTCCCCCTGGCTCCTGCGGCTTTGTGCCTTCAGGATATCATTAGGTTGGTGAGTGGCGCTCTGCCTGGCTGGAGGTGGAGGTTGTCCAGGGGGCTTATTATTGGGGGAGGGCCCACAGGAAAATTATTGCCCACAGGAAAAATATGGCATGACCTTATTATCAGGACATGTTGTAATTTCAGGGAAAGACAGTATGTATTGATTATTGTTTGCATCTGGATTTTAAATGCTGTTATCCTGAGTCACCATAGTAATGTGCACAGAAAGACTTCAGTTTTATCAACAATGTCACAAGTGGAGTTTTTATTTATGGGATTGGGGTTAGGAGATTGAAATTGGTAGGGCTTGTATTCAGAATAATGGATCGAGGATGCATTTTGTTCCTAAGAATGCCCACCAAGCCATGCTCACAGAACTGGTAGTAAAAAAAAATTGAATCCCACCACTGCTTGGACTTCCTAATTGTTCCACGAGTCTTTGTCCAGAATGATTCAAAGTTGTTCTTCAGTTGCTTTGTACTTTTTGGGGGGAGAAGCTAAAATGAGATTTCCTAAGTTTACTGCTGAATCTGAGTTTAGGGAGCTAAATCAGCTAAACAAACTGATATTACAATGTGTGGCAAGTAGCAAATTTCTGTCCATATTCCTCTGCTTTTGTCCAAGATAGAACTTTGAGAAATCAAATGAACTTTCTCTGGTTTTAGGGGAAAAGTACAGTTGCTTTTTGAAAAAGCACATTTGGGACATTGGCTGAGAGCAAATACTGCAAAAATCCTGTCCATTTTAAAATCACATTGGAACCAGTCATGCCTGCTTTCAATTAGCACCAAACTGCATGAATATGACTTCTGTTTCAGGGTCCAGTCTGTGAGATCTCTCCTCTATTTCTCACATTCACAACTGATGTTGAATCCTACACCAAAAGTAGTGAAAACTATTATTCCTCATTAACAGCATATGGAATTAACAGAATAACAGAGTTGAAAGGGAACTTCTAGTCCTATTCTTCTTCTAATCCAATGGTTCCCAACCTGTGGGTCGGGATCCCTTTGGGGGTCAAATGACCCTTTCACAGGGGTCGCCTAAGACCATTGGAACACACATATTTTTGAAAAAATATGGAAAACATAAAATAATCTTATGGCTGGGGGTCACTACAACATGAGGAACTGTATTAAAGGATTGCGGCATTAGGAAGGTTGAGATCCACTGTTCTAACCCAACCCCTGTTCAAGCAGGACACCCTACATACTTCAGACAATTGGTTGTTCAGTCTCTTCTTAAATGTCTCCAGTGTTGGAGCACCTACAACTTCTGAAGACAAGTCATCCCACTGATTAATTGTTCTTACTGTCAGGAAATTTCTCTGTAGTTCTAAGTTGCTTCCCTCCTTGATTAGTTTTTATCCATAGTTTCTTATCCTGCCTTCAGGTGCTTTGGAAAATAGGTTCACCCCCTCTTCTTTGTGGCAGCCGCTGAGATATTGGAACACTACTATTATATCATCCCTAGTCTTTTTTCATCAAACTAGACATACCCAATTCCTGCAATTGTTCTTTGTATGTTTTAGCCTCCAGTCCCCCATTCATCTTTGTTGTTCTTCCCTAAGCTATTTTTTTAAGTTTAAAATCTTTTTAGACAAGATAGCTATGCTTTCTTCTATTACCACTTAGTAAGGGACCAAATTGCAAATTACTGTCAATTTTGATAGCTTCATAGTTCCACTTATACTTTGCATCTATTCTCTTTTGGATTTCCAGATCCCTGTTTTGTTTGAATGATTAATTACTGGGAGGAGGTAAAGAGCCCTCCGAACCTGGGAACCTCCAGATTTTTTAGACCACACCTCATGCCATATAACTGGAAACTGGAAATGTTATTACAGTAGTAATCAAACATAAATGGGGATTGGGGGGTGTCACAGAAAGCTGTCATAGATACTGTGGAAATAGGACTAAGTTCAGCTGTTTTGTAATAGTGCTCTTCAATTTAATATTAATAGCAGTTTAGAGAAATGAATTGCCAAATTGTATCTGTTTGTCTGTTCGTGTGCAATAGCAGTTGAAAAATAAGGTTGATCAGGCTCTGGAATGTAATGATTAATCTCTATCCCTCTATATTGCAGTTGCAATTAATAAATCACGAATGCACTCCAAGCCTCTAATATCCTTAGCCATATAAGAAGAAGCCATTATTAACTGTTCTTTCTGATATCAGTTCCGGGAATAATAACAATAAAAAAGAGATCTGGATCACATTTGAAGATGAAATGAAAATGGGTAATATACGAACCACATTTTTAAAAATCATTTCATCCATCTCCTGAGACACAATTTTATACAACTGCCACTGGAAATATAAAGAGTCATCCAACAATTTTTGGCTACATGATCATGTGATATTCAAGTGTTCACGAGAGAGTGGGGAAAATGGCAAGTTTTATTGTGATACAAATTGAATGTTGACTTTATATCTTAAAAATCATTTACTGTGACAGTTTCACTGATAACAGTTATCAATAAAAATAAACAATGGAGTGATTACCATTTAATACAGAAAACATATAAAATAATTCTCCCAAGAAAGAAAATTAATCTAATTTAACATGCTATCACTTTCTTTACTTCTTTGTTAATTATTATTTTACACTTAAGATAATGCACTTTTATATTATTATTAAGTGTAAGACAGTAATAATATAAAACTTAGACTTGCTTTAAATTCATTTTGTAAAAAGTAGGTTCAAGGAGAATACCTAAAAAGATAACAGCAGCTTTCACGTTACAGTTCATAATTCTAAATATAAAGACCATTAAAGTCACCTTTTTTATTTGTATGAAGATCATTTCTTACCTTGATCAAAGGATGTAAGTGGACTCCATGTACGGAAATAATCATCCTGCAGCAGAAAAAGAAAGCATGTGCTTAGAATGGGAAAAAGAGTACAAACGTATGAATGGGGAAAGACAGAAATGCATAAAAGATATACAAACCTCAACTTCCTGCACATGGTGCGCAGCAAAAAAAAACACAAAGGAAAGATACAATTATCATATGGACACACTAATTGCAGGAAACACATCTTTGGTAATGAAAAATAATTGAAAGAATAAACAGCTAGTTCATAAACCAGATGGAAAAAGTATCTGAAATAGCCACAATTTTAATTCAGAGTTATGTCATGTTCCCATCGGAGTCTGACTCTGAGATGAAAGACGAGCAGCTGACAGACAGCGGGAGAGTGCTCTGTTGGCTGTGGAGGAAACTGGGGAAGGGCAAAGTCAGGTTGGGCAGAGTATGAGAGAGGTAGAACAAGGGGTTCAGATGAAGATCAAGGCCCCATGCTTCCTTCTCACCCTAAAGATCACAGGGAAGAAAGCAGAAGAGAGCAACGGGGGTTGTGTGGCTTACAAGGAAGGAAAGGGTCCCGGTTTCCTTCACAAGGCACACCTGGGGATGGAGCTTAAAGGAGAGGCAATTGGGAGCGGTGTTAGTCAGGAATAAACACTGAGTTCACCTAGTGTGGTGTTGTGGCCTGCATTCCTGGCATTCCTCCCGACTGCTTGAAGTATTTACGACCTTCTGTGGGCTTATCTCATCCTGCTGGAATTATCCTTGGCTCCTTGCTTATCTTGCCCTGCTGGAGTAGCTGCAGGTTTGTGGAAGAGCTCTTCTCCAGTCTGGAGAGTGAAAGGGACCTTGGGGGCACAGTTGGTGTTAATAAAGGGAGTCATACCAGTTCTATGGCTGTGTTGCCTTTGTGCCACGCTCATCACAGGTTATATTGTGGTTCAATGTACATCATTATTAACTATTCTGACAGTTGCTTACACAAATTATCTTGTAAAAAGTATTAAATGGAATGGCTGTAAAACTTCTCGCAGAAATGAAATTTCATTGCCAAATATCAATCCGACCACAAGCAAAGTGCTTGTAGATCTTCACTCTACATATTGCTTTCAAAACTTACTGTTTACAAACTAAATTTCATTTCATTGCTCAGCATAAACAAAAACAAATCTGAGTACTAAGCAATCTACTGTTAATATAAGTGCTATTAATTTTAGTGGACTTCACCTGTATAATTTATTATTTATTGATTTATATCACCATCCTAACTGAACCCTGGACAGCATACTGATTAAAACACAAAACAATATAATAATCCCTAGTTCCTAAGGATAAAATGAAAACTATCCCACTTCTCTCCCTCTTACTGACCTCATTGATCCTCTCTTATCCCTTTCTGTCCCTCAGACTTGCCACACAGAGGCCCTTCCTATCTTATCCCCTTCTCTCCCTCAGGCTCCTCTCCAAACTCCCAGCTCGCAGGCTGGATGAGTTACGGGCTAGCCATGCCCAAGTGGCACTTCATTAAAACACAAAAACAATATAATCCCTAGTTCCTAAGGATAAAATGAAAACCTTGTTCCTAGAGGAACACTTGAACAGCAGCAGAGTTCACCTAATCTCCCGACCTAAATATCTAAAGTCAGGTCTTCAGCATCTTGCAAAAGGCTAACAGGGTCAAGGGCATCCTGATCTTTTGGTAGATGCTGTTCCACAGAGCAAATGCTGCCATTGAGAAGCAACAATTCTGGGCTTCAAAAAGATGGCACTGGTTTCATAGAAGAGACCCAGAATATGTCTTTTTGACTGAGAGCGGAAACAATAGGAAAGGTGGTGCCTCAGCTATCAACCCATTCTCTTTATCATTTGATTATTCATTTTTGCACTATTTTGAACTATGGTACAAAAACTAATAATTATTTATTTATTTATTTATTTATTTATTTATTTATTAGACTTATATACCGCTTCATAGGGCTTTCAGCCCTCTCTAAGCAGTTTACAGATTTTTTAGCAAATTGAGTCAGCAACTTGCCCCCACAGTCTGGGTCCTCATTTCACCCACCTCGGAAGGATGGAAGGCTGAGTCAACCTTGAGCCGGTGAGATTTGAATCGCTGAACTGCAGATCATAGTCAGCTGAAGTGGCCTGCAGTACTGCACCCTAACCACTGCGCCACCTGAAATTAATATTTCATATTGTAAATATTTATGGGGTTGCCTAAAGAATTGTAGAAATAACTACAATTCTGATATTCCTAGACTTTGCAAAGGAACCGAAGGCTACCACGATATAATCTGGAAGCATTGTGCACATATTTAAGCAATCATTTAGTAATCAATGTTCAGCTAAATATGCATGAACATTACAACTTCACATTTAAAATCATTCTGATAACTGCTATCTATTATTAATTGTGCAAAGATTTCTTTCTTCCCACAGATGCTATTCTGGAGAGAAAAATGGACCAATCAAATTGGAATATATCTATTCCTCATATGAAATAAGGATACAGATATTGCCAATGAATACGCAGAAAATTGCTTGAAGAAAATGATGCATGCGGCTGTAAGGATTTCTATTACCATTTCAGCTTAGAGACAGAGATTAGCTCCTACTGAGAAAATTTACTGAAATAAATTACTTACGCCTCACATACATATTTCTAATGGACTTTATAATATTCCAAATAATCAATAGCTAGGTACCTATGCATAAGTTAATGTATACCAACATTCTTTTTACAAGGATATTGACTGAAAATCTAGATTCAGCAATTATAAGTGAAATTGCATTTAACATAAAATGTGAAATTGTTGGTCTGTTCGAAGGAAAATTTCAATATGCAAAGCTGCAGGTAATATAAGAATAGATCAGGTAGACTGTATTTTTCTTCCATCCAATCATTCACATATAAAAACACTTTGTGTGTACAGTGAAAAAGACAGAAAGCCATATGTTTATAGTAAAGGTAAAGGTTTCCCTCGCACATATGTGTTAGTCATTCCCAACTCTAGGGGGCGGTGCTCATCTCTGTTTCAAAGCCAAAGAGCTAGCGCTGTCCGAAGACGTCTCCGTGGTCATGTGGCCAGCATGATTAACACCGAGGGCGCACAGAACGCTGTTACCTTCCCACCAAAGATGGTTCCTATTTTTCTACTTGCCTTTTTACATGCTTTAGAACTGCTAGGTTGGCAGAAGCTGAGACAAGTAATGGGAGCTCACTCCGCTACGCACCGCTAGGGATTCAAACCGCCGAAATGCCAACCTTTCTGATCAGTGTCTTAGCCACTGTATCCCTTCATTACCATATACTTATAGATGTCCTCAAAAAACTGTCAAGGAACTGTCCAATTCTTTGCCAGATGTAACTGCCTCAATGCTTCAGAAAAGACTTTGCTCCCATGAATCTCCTTTGTTAAATACTCATTTGATTGCTTTGGACAGATGTAATATATAGTCATGAGCTTTACAGAGATTATGTTTCCTGATATGAACTTAAAATGCCACGTATTTTTACTTCACACCAAAGCATACCATTGAGGAAGGTGAGCAAAGGTAAATATAGTTGCTGGTAATAGAGGTAGCATTTGACTTACGACCACAATTGAGCCCAAAATCGCTGTTGTTAAGTGAAACACTGAAGTGAGTTTTGCCCCATTTTATGACCTTCCTTGCCACAACAAAACAAAACTATTTGCACTAAAAATCACCAAGCACTGTTAATACTCAAAAGAACTAAGGCAGGGGAAAGGAGGATTATAGACCATAAAACTATCAACAATTTAATTATTAATCTAATTTAATTGTTATTTCCAGTAATGCCCCTAAGCCTAAAAATATTCATATGGTTGATGGATGGCAATTACTTATTGTTTTGCTTCAAATAAAAGGTAGAATGAAGTGAGAGAGGATATTTTAGGACGCTTGATTAAATGGCCTAGATGGGGAATATGGCTTGTGTGTCACAAGTGCACATAGAGCCCTCTCTATGGGCAAACAATCCATTGCCCCAGCCCAGTTTTGCCGTGCATGTGCCTCCCACTGGCCAGCTGATTTTCAGGTCTCTGCCATGCATGTCGGCGGGGGGGGGGGGGCAAGACGGATGTGGAAAATGCATGCGTATGCGCAGGTGATTTCATACACATTGGCAGGGTGCAAGGGGGTGAGCGCGCATTGCATTATGAATGTGTGCCCACGTGCTTTTGGCACCTGGCGCCAAAATGGTTAACCATCACTGGTCTAGAGTGACCTTACCAGGGGTGGGTTCCTGCCAGTTCTAACCTCTTCTATAGAAGAGGTTCCACAAATCTACCGTGCCGTTTAGAACCGGTTCCAGCTCCCTCCCCTTGCCCATTCGCACATCATCAAGATGACGAGCGAGAGGAGGAATTCTTGGAGTTGAAGTCCACAAGTCTTAAAGCTGTCAAGTTTGAACACCCCTGGGTTTTTTTTCTAAAGGGTTAGGGGTGCAAGGGTCTTGTAACATGACAGCTTTAAGACTTGCATGCTTCAAATGCCAGAGATTCTGAGCCAACATTTTGGTGAGTTTTGTGAGTTTTACCACATTTTACAAGTTGGCCATGCCCACCCAGTCACATGGCTGGCAAGCCACTCCCACCCGGTCACATGGCCGGCAAGCCACTCCCACAAAGCAGGCCACACCTACAGAAGAGGTTCTAAAAAAATTTGAAACCCACCACTGGACCTTACCTACTGGTTTGTCTTCCATAACTGTGTTTTCATTATGCTAACCATTTGCTGTTATTAGTTGTGGTCGTGTTGGAATCATCGCGACCCCATGGACAATGTTTCTCCAGGCCTTTCTGCCTTTTGGTACTGTCCATGGGGTTTTCATGGCAAAGATACTGGAGTGGACTGCCATTTCCTTCTCCAGTGGATCACATTTTGTCAAAGCTCTCTGCCATGACCTGTCCGTCTTGGGTGGCCCTGAACGGCATATGCCACAACAAGGCAGAAACCATGAAGGGCTATACTACCTATAGCTGCCATTTTATGACTGTCCTCAACTCTTTTAAAATTTTAAATGGGTTTATTTATTTTATTTTATTTAGAAAATTTATATGGTCGCCCACTTACTTTACAAAAATTTATCATGGGTTAAGGTTCCCAATCTTAGCAACTTTAAGAT